CGGGGGGGAGAGAGGGGGAGAGGGAGAGAAACATACAACTGCAACCTTTTTGGTGTACAGGACGATGTTTCAAACAACTGAGCTACCCAGCCCGGGTGACACTGTTTTTTATCAGGGACAGCACCCAAACCAGTAAGGCTTATAATCACAGACTCTGCTAACTGTACACGAACATCCATGTACAAATCTTCTCCACTGTTCATTTTTCCAAGTTGAGGGAAGAAGAAAAATAACCAGGTTAAAATAAATGATTAGCAGATTAACCAATGTAGTTACTTTCACACTAGTTGCCATCAGAGCCTAGAGGAAATGAAACCGGTGGATGGAAGGGAGAGAGGGAGGTTGGATACATATCTGTGCAGGAAGCCTAAAGCTTATTCCTACTTGAACTTTGAGCTAGTCTGTATTCTGAATCATTAAATAACTTAATAATAGATTATTTACAAATGAATAAAGATTTTCTTTGAAAAATTAAATTAAAATGTTTCCTTTAATCACTATTTAATAGCATTACCTTTAAAATTCAACTTCTTTTAAAAGCACATAAAGAAAAGAGTAGGTGGGGGGCTGGGGGGGGAGTTGAGTTAAAAAGAGGGAATTCATGGACATGGACAAGTGTGGTTGTAGAGGGGGGTGGGTGGAAGAGGGTACAGGGGGAATGATGATGGAGAAAAAAGAAAAACAGTAATACTACACTTCAACCATCCTTTTAGCATTCTTACTATATAGGGGATGGATATTAACTAACAATAAATGAGAAACAAGACTCTAGCACTATAAGGACAGGAAGTGAATAACAAATTCAGTAAAATTTGGGTTTCTGGGCATCCTGGGATTTTCGTTTTTGTTTCTTCTATATTCTAACCAATTTTGTCTGCATTTCTGTAATTCACCATTACCCTGAATATAGCATAAGACTTCAGTTTAGTCTTCCAGGAATAGTATGTATAAAAGCAATCAACACTTTGTTTTATGGACTACTAGCTCTGAATCCAGCCATAAAATTATAAATTATGTATCAAATAATCTAAGTTTTGACATACACATACACACACCAGAAAATTTATGTTTTGACAATAAAATATACATTTATAGCAAACATACTTTATTTTGAAAAATGTCCCCAACTACTTCAACTCCCCAACTCAATACATACATTTTAAATTATAACCCAAATTTTTCAAATTGAGGTGTACCCAATCTGCTGGTTCTAGTTAAATACAACATATTAAACAGTTCAATGTAGCTATAAGATCAATAAAGAAAAAGGAAAAAATAAATCTTACCTGGTAGTTTCTTTTCTCAGATAATGTATGTCCATCAGTCCTCACCATAGAGTCGTGTCCTTTCCTCACAGTACTGGAGGCAATCAAACAGAACTGTCACTCAAGGGTCGTGTCACAGGAAGGACCGCCCACCAGTTCTCCCTCTAGAGTGGAATTATCCAAAAGCCATCAAAATTACTAGCATGTAAATATATGAACAGTAGCAAAAAATATCCAATATGACACACAGAAAACAAAACAAAAACAAAATGTTCTTTTTAAATATTCTAACTGATCTTCCTCTTAACCATCTGGGGAGGGCTAGACTGGCAGACATACTTTATTTGAGGTAGAAATTATTAAATATGAAAAACTTTTCCTTGCCACTTCTCTCTTCAGTGAAAACTGTCCACACCAAACCTCATACACAAGGAAGAAGCTTACAATAAACAAAAATGGAGTTGACAAAAATGTTCAGATCTCAACTGACCTATTTTTCTTTTAGATAGTCTTCTGTTAGTCTCAGAAATATCCAATAAATTCAGATTTAGCCATTTAACTTAAAATCCCTCTCCTCCGAATGCTTCTTTATATAGCATTCAGTTTATGATATTTATTCCTATGCCATAAGATGAAATATATCAATGTTCTTATAATGACTAGTAAATGAAACCTAACTCAATACTCTTACTAAAATAGACTTAATGAAGAGTAGCAACAAATGTCAACTTTATGAAGCCTTTATCCTTCAATCGTCCAATTTCATACATACTCTAATAGAATTTGCTTTATTACACTAGGGCAGAAAAATAATGGAGGTCATTTCTTAACCTCAATAGAGACAAGTAAGTCCAAAATGACTAGGCACTGGGCACAGCAGGTACAAAAAATTCAGTGAAGCAGAGGTGATAGTAGCTAGAGATGTTAACTAAAAAAAAATGTAAACTGCAAATGAGATCAAAAATTCAAAAATGGTGTATACAATAAATCTGGAAGCACACATTTTTAACACAAATGTTTCTCACTGAAATTTTAGTAAAACATTTACCCTAGGGAAGTAGTAAATGTATCTAATGATCTAATAATTGTTGCTAACCATTAAAAATATTCAAATTTAGAACAACCATTTAACATCATAAGAAATATACTTTGGGAGAGGATAATAAAAACATCTAATTTAAATTCATAAAAAGTATGAATCAATTTTATTAAAACCAACACACACGTACACATACATATGGATTACCTATGAAAAGCAATCTAATACGACCAGCAGAAACATTTTCAAGGAAAACAAATCATTAAGAATTAACATTATTAAAGTTTTAAAATGAATCCAAGAAATGAAAACCTGTATGTTGTCTTGTTTTATGTTTGATTACAGAGTTAGTGAATGCTATACTTTTACTTAATTTTGACCATCTAACATTGTATTACGTTTGGTGAAATATTTTAGGATGCCAAACTCTATGGCAAAAATGTAACTGCTCATTAGGAAATTTACATATACCATTGGAATAAAGTATGTCTCTCTCAAAAATAACAAAGGAGAAAGGTTTTCTAAGCCATAAGTTAAGTAATAACTGCTATAAATGTAATCCCTACCATCTAGCAAGGAATTAGGTTATTCATAAAGAAAAATTGTATCAAGCAAATTGGATGTCCAAGAATAGTTAAGTGACACACATTCAGGTCCAATTTAAATTTTCATGACTGCCACAAAATGAGAGCTACGCTATTTTACTATGCATCCCCGAAACAACGTTAACCCCGTTTTAATGTTTTATAATATTAATAGACTTTAAAACACTATTTGCCTCACTATTAATGTACCCATGGCAACTCTGAATTCAATGTCTAATAGCTTAAACTTTCAGTTTTTTTCTTATAGAATAAAAATGTGTTCCTTCTCAAATAAGTTTAAATTAAAGTCCATGCATTTTCTTCAAATTATGCTAGTTCCATCAAAAGATAAGTTGCAAATCTAAAATCAGGCAAGGCAATTTTCAACAGTATAACTTAACTATATAAAAATGACAATTATGACTGATAATTGTGACTCTATATGCTAAATACTTTAATTAAAAATAAAAGTTAATATTTATTCTGTAAATTTACCAGGTGAAAGAAAAATATTAATTTTGGAATACTATAGACTTTAGTACAAAGGGAAATCTTGCTTTTGTTTCCCTCTTGGGATAACTTCAAATATTTAATGGCTTAAGGTTTCAATCAATATCAATATCTATATGCTTTAACCAATGTGGGAATAAATATTCTTTACTGAAAAGTAACTATCTCCTCTTAGTAAACAAAGAGAAAAAGAAATAAAGGCACTCTATTTTCCTCTAGGTAAACATGACAGCTAACATTTTTCACTATCTTGCATTAAGTAAAAATGTTCAGTAACAGATTGTCTTGATATTTGTCATATTTGGAATGAAATGATGCACAACAGATGAAACAGGGTGTGAGTATCCATGTGAGGCAGTGTATACGAAAAGAAGTAAGCATGAAAGAGAACATGGACTCCAACTGCCAAAATTTATTAAAATTTATACACTGGTTTTCCCAAGTCCTACAAATATTCAAAAAGCCAGAAAAGACAAATATTTACAAAACCAAAAACAAACAAACAAAAAACACAGACTGTACGTACCCTCCTGCCTTAAATAATCAGAAAACTAGATAAAATATATGAAATAATTTTCAGACACTGGACGTCATCTCAGAACAGAGTTCTTCAAGAGAAAAAAAAAACAAATGAAGTAATCCTATTGCCTGTAGAGATATAAGGCTGAATGAAACAGAGGGAAAGGAGAGGTGGAACCCAATCAGAACCCAATGGTCTCACTGAGTTAAAGAAAGAGTTCATAATTAGGGGGGACACCAAGGCAGCCAGAATCTGCAAAGCAAATGAAGAGAAAGAAGCTGCAGAGACAAAGAACTCTAAAGATAAAGAGAGAGATTCTCCTTAAGGTTTTGGCATGTGAAAAAACTATTGAGTCTAGAGAAAAAGCCTCTGAAAAATAGTAGTCAGAACAATCCCCAGAGCTCCTGTTTCCATCAATCAGAGTAGGACCTAACACAAGGGTTATTAAACAGAGTTCAGAAGGTAACTAATGCCTAGGCAATGAAACCAAATAAGGTATATACTAAAGGATGTTCTGAACCAGCACTAACAAAGCTTAAAACCAAGCCTCAAAAGTATCAAGCTAATTCTAAGTACAACAGTACCCCAAAACAAAGCCCAACAATATTTAAAATAATACAACACGCCAACATAAAGTAATATTAGATTTGTTGCCTCATTAGTTATATTGTTCTGATTTCTGGTTTTAATAATGCACTTTAGTTTATGACATACATATTACTATATAAAGTATGATGACATCACTAGAGGAAGATAGGTGATAGGCATATGGGAATTCTCTGTATTATTTTTGTACCTTCTTATGAGTTTATAATTATTTGAAAATTAAAATATTTTTAAAAGACTCTAATTGATCTAGAGATAAACATCCAATGTCTGTGATTGAATATACATTGGGTAGGACTGACAGTATATTAGATGCTTCAAAAGAAAAGTTTAATGAACTTGAAGACAAAGCAACAGAAAAATCAAATACAAAATTAAATACAATGAAAAGGGGCTAGAAAATAAAGGAACTGAGACAATATCAAGTGGAACAGTGAACTGTTAGGCAATATCAAGCAGTCGAACATTAACTAGTGTCCCAGAAAGAGTAGAAGAGCTGTACATAGGATAGAAAATAATGGCCAGATTTTTCCTAAATTTGAGGAGAAACATAAACTCACAGATTCAAGAGCTTCAGCAACCTTCAGGGTGAACAATAAAACACCTCATCATTTTAGAGTCAAATTGCTGAAAAACAGTAATAGAGAAATCTTGAAGCAACCAGAGGGGGGCTGGGAAGACTACACAGACAATCAGAGGACTTCTCATCAGAAACAATGCAAATCAGAGGAGTAGAGATCAACATTTTTAAACTACAGGGGGGAAAAACAACAACAACCAACCATTAACCAAAGTTCTAAATCCAGCTAAAGTATCTTTCAAAAATGAAGGAAAATACAGCCATTTGGGGAAAGTTTGGCAGTTTTCAATAAAATTAAACTTACACTTACCATACAACCCAGCAACTGTGCCCCTGTGTATTTACCAAAGTGAACTGAAAACTTAGGTTCATATGAAATTCTATATCTGAATGTTTATACCAATGAAGATGTCCTTCAAGAGGTGAATAAACAAAATAGTACATATATACAATAGAATTCTATTCAACAATAAAAAAGAACAAACTATTAATTCATGCAACATGGATGAACCTCAAATGCATTTTGCTAAGGGAAAGAAACCAGACCAAAAAGGCTGTACATTGTTTCCATCCATATAATATTCTGGAAAGGCAAAACTACAGGGACAGAAAATAGATCAGTAGTTGCCAGGGTACTGAGAGGGATGTGGAAAACAACTGAAAAAGAGACTACATAGGGAAACTACTAAGGAGACGGAACTATTCCATATGATATTGGAGTGGTGGATATGATGGTATGCATGTATTAAAATTCATAGAACTTCACAAAATAAAGAGTAAACTTTATGCAAATTTTAAAACTCAACCAGAAGTTATAAATGCAGACCTGCATAGCCACATTGAAGAAGTATAAAAATAGTGCTGACCTAAGTAAATGGAAAAGGATGTTTTGACTATTAACTATTAAGGGGGGGAAAAGAACTACATAAACACTGTATTCTAGTTGGTAAAGTAATTCCTCACAGGGCTATGGGTTAACAATTCTGAAACTGCTATGCATGCATACTGAAGATAAACAATAAGTAAAACAGATGGTGGTCAGTATGAACCAGGTTTCTCACTGTCCGAGAGGGAAGTTACAGATAAACTAGGAGGAAGGCTAGAATGAACTAGTCATGTACTTCTTAATGACGGGATACATTCTGAGAAATGCATCGTTAGGCAATTATCTTTGTAGGAACACCACAGAGTACACTTAGACAATCCTAGGTGGTGTAGCCTACTATATACCTAGCTATATGGTATAGCCTATTGCTCCTAGGCTACAAGCTTGTACATGTTACTGTAACAAACAACATGAGATTAAATCAAGCCCAAGAGAAAATAATACAATCAAGAGATGCAGTAAACACCAGATACATGAGGCTGCTCCTGGCATAATACAACATACTCTTTTACAGAATACTTTTTTGTAAGCAAAAAGAATACACTCTAAAATAACAATAAAATGTATAATATAGTAAATACATAAACCAGTAACAGTCATTTATAATCAAGTAGTATGTACTATACCTAATCGTATGTGCTATACTTTTATACGATTGGCGGCGCAGGTTTACATCACCACCACAAACACGTGCGTAATGCGTTGTGCCAGGGCATTAGGACAGCTAAAATGTTGCTAAGTGACAGGAATTTTTCAGCTCCATTATAATCTTATGGGGCCACCATCATATATGCATCTGTCGTTGACTGAAACTGTTATGCAGAGCATGACTGCAAGTAGTACTGGTTTAGAGTCAGAAACAAAGCACTTTAAATACAGACTGTAAATCATTCAGACTGTTACAGAAAAGATCATTTCACTGATCTGTTGTATGTCACTTGAAAATAAATTAAAAGTTGATAAAATGCTAGGTGATTAACAGGTATGTTGAAATTATATTTTTAAAGATAAGCTTGAAAAGGGGTAGTTAAAAGATGTTTTACATTGTAAACAAAGCTAATTTTGAAAAAGCTCCAATTTTTAAAAGTATTTTCAAACAATTAAATTTATCTCTAAACTTTTTAACAGACTAATAGCAATTAAATTTCAAGAATGCAAAATAATTCATGTAACACATTTATCAATAGTGTCTACTCATGTGTAATAATTTCTCTCAAATTGAAGTCACTTTTAAAATAAACTTCACAATGCATCAGTATAAATGGTAAAAAATAAACATTTTACACCACCTTTTGAAAAACCCTTAAAATAGATTTAGTCATGTTATCAGCTTAAAATCCAAGAAACCAATAAGGGGGAAAACATAAACCAAATCTTAGTGTAAGAAAAACATAAGCAGGCTTATTCATCTGGGATGTTTCCCCAAGTCAGAGCCTAATAAAAATTAAGCATATATTACCTAGACTAATAAATAATACCTGAACCTCAATTTTTCTCCATTCAGAAAGATTTCACAGAACAAGAAATCAGGTAATCATAAGTAAAATCTCTAGAAAATACTTCACTGGAGAGGGGGAAATAATTATTAATGCTGTTCTTCAAATCCTATTAAATTTTGGGTGTCACATCATACAAAAATGTATACCTATTAGTTTGATCAATTTCTCCTCTCTGGCCTCAGCTTCCTAATCTATAAATTAAAGGGATCGAATTAGCTGAATTTTTAAAATGCAAGCTGTATGCATTTTGTATTTTATGAAAAAATATTGTATTTTTATATTTTTACATTTTAAATAATCTGTGCCAAGGTAATCCACTTAGGAAAAATGAGCAGTTACAGTTGATTTCCGCTCCCCCCCAATGTTTTCTTTTTTTCCTCCCACTATTAGTCAATAGTGCTTGTAACAATGCCCAAATATTTGGGAGTTCAGGAATGGTATCTAAAACATCTATAATTTAGCAGTCATTACCACACTCAATTTTAAGCTACAATGTGAATTTGGTCAGGTTAAGACAGCTGAACCAGTTAATGGTTTTTGCTTTTTTCTTTACTTAATCGTCACCCGAGGATATGTTTATTGATGGGGGAAGGGAGGGGAAAGGGAAGGAAAGGGGGGAGAGAAACATCAATCAGTTGCCTCCTCTACAGGCTCCAAGAGGGATCTAACCCACAACCTAAATAAGTGCCCTGACCAGGAATCCAAACTGCAACCTTTTGGTGCATGGGACTACACTCAAACCAACTGAGCTACCCAGTCAGGGCCATTTTATTTTTCGATAAAGAGGGCAATACTGTATATTCCAGGTTGGCTATTAATTAGAACAGACTACCAGATGTGGTCAATTTCAATGGCGCTCAGTAAAAGCTAAGTAAATGTACTTAGCTATTATCTTTAAAATAGTAGGGTTTCTCAAATTCCAGAACTATGTCAAGGAACTTTTTCTTGTTAATAGGTAGATTGTAATTACAAAAATATTATGAACCGATTTTCTGAACTAATTTTTGGTTTGAGCACATAGATAAAATGTTTTCAAAATTCTGAGTTGATAACTTAAGGTACATACAAAGAAGTAGCATGGGCAGACAGAAAAATAAAGCAAGAATTTCACTTCCATAACCAATGCCACCCCAATAAATTCAATAAAAATTAAAAAAGCAAAAAAGTTCAGTTCCATACCAAACTTATTCTGGGGAAATTGTCACATTAACTAAAAATAGTTTTTTGGAAAGTTTTAATAATAGAAGTTTTATGGGTCTATAATTAACATGTAACATGAAAAGTTGCCTATATTTACAAATAAATCAACACTATTCTCTTGACATCAATTTACTCTCTGGATGTCATAATTTACTATTTTTAAACTTAATTCTGTTTGTCTTCTATTTTCTGAAGTGGTAGCAGTACTTCTAATATATCTATGTAGTTCCCTCACAGATATTCCGAGAAGGATTCTAGGCACCTTATACATAGAATTCATTATAAGTAGAAAATCAGTGTATCTATGTAAAAGGCCCACCCTCTCCATAGTCTTAAAAGTCCTAAATAAAATGAAATTCAGTAGAGTGCTACTGAGCTTAAATGACAAAAGTTCAAAAATACCTGAACACAGGCATGAAAATTAAAAGTTCATTATTTGTATTAGGCTTAAATGAAACTGGGGTCCAACATAAAGACAATCAGGTGTCCTAGTCTTCCAGCTGCCTGAAACTTAAAGACGTTTACACAAGTTGCTTAATGGCTGTGTGATTCAATATCTTCATACAAAAATAGTATCTGCACAGTCTGGCTTATGGCTATGATCAAGTAAGTTTGTGAACTGGATTTATAATACATATAAAACCTCATTTAAATAAAGTTGCTTAAACTCGAAGAGACTACCAAATGTGACCAATCTTAATGTGTAAATAGCCAAACTATTAGTACCAATTTTCTGCAAGTTTAAAGCTGACGAAAAGTATTTAAATTAATGAAATGTTTTAGAAACTTTCATTATAATTAGCTAAAAATCCACAAGGGTTACCAGGATTGACGTAGCTATTGCCAAAGCAGCACCTCTAAAATAAGACCAAGTCATATTAGCCTCACATTCTACTATGGAACAGACACACTGGTTCTATTAATTCAACAAAGGAACCTGTGCAAATTGTAATCTGTAAGTAAAACTCTGTAAAGTATGTAACAGCTCCCTTCTCACTCTGCCTTACAAATGATCATTAAATACTCTTACTTTATATCATCAACTGAACATACTACATGTGAACCAGAAATCTGAAAATTACAACTCCAATACAATACTAATATTTTTTCTCATAATAATTTATGTTGTTGGTTCTAATACAATAATATTAAAAACTGATTAGTTCACATGAACTGCTTAGACTTACTGAAGTCATAACTGATTATACTTACCAAATTATCTCAGAAAAATGATAGTCACGTGACGGGGGTATTAATGTGGCTTCTTATAAAAAGTAATTAAAAAGTTGCTCTTAACACAAATTTAACAAGTCAATTATATATTTTTTAATTTAAAACGAATTATTTTCAGTTTTCCTAAGAGACTATTAAAATAAAGCTTTAGTGAAAAGCAGAGAATAATAATTATAGCTATCCATTTGAAGAAGACAACATAATAGTCAGTGAACACTAACTAAATGGACATTTCCCCAACCTCTCGAAGTTTAGTTTTTGTAAAAGACAAAAAGGACAACTGGTACACTATTTCTTGCATGGTGGACATGGGAATGGCCAGAGATGCTCTGCAGAGCACTGGACATGAGTCCTATCTAGGGCACTAACACAGAGCTGACAAAACAATAGACATATCTATAGTGGCCAGAAATAGGCTAAAGAATTTACACCATTTTTAACCACAAAATCACCTTGGGAGTGCTTTTTAAATATTGATGTGCGCTTCATGGCCCCTAATTTAATTAACTGGTCAGGGATAGAATCTGGTCCTCAGGTGCTTTTTAAAGCATTCCAGATGATTCTAATGTATAACTGCAAGGTTCAGACTGTAGAGAAGAGTGAAATTCAAAAATGTTTTCATTTCAGCGTTAAGTATTGAACAAGAAACACTGTAAAAAAAAACAACACTGTAAATTTATAAGTTGATTCCTAATGCATGCCAATGTGCCCTTTCCTTGTCTTTTCTTCACTCTATCTAAAAAATACTACGCCTTAAACATTAATATTTAAAGTGGTTTTTAAGCATAAGAACAGAATACTGTTGAAATACATACATTGTAAGTTTAGGAGTGGATAATATTAAAAAGTAGATGCAAATATTACAGTCAAACTTCTTTATTAGAAATTTCTAATAAAAAACTTCTCTAATATATTCAATACTTAGGTTTTAAAAACATGTAATATTAACTATCATTTGCCAAGCATTAGACACTGTACACTAAACTCTTTACCAGTATTTCTTTCAATCCTCACAAGGTAAGATTTACTATAAGGTAGATATTATTATCCCTTTTTCAAAGATCAGAAAACTTAAACTCTGAGAATAAGGAAATTACTCAAGGTCAAAAACTAATAATAAGTAAACTAGAATTAACAGGGCCAAAATTTAAGCTCATGTGACTTGAATCCAGTCTTAGCCACTATAGCTTTGCTCTCTCATATATTGGTGTGATAGATATCTCACATATATCATATACATCATATGTACATGGTATCTATCATACCAATTATGGCTTTATGAAAAATGAAACCACTTCAAGAAATTCCAGCTGTTAAGTTGTTAAGTACTTCTTAAATGTCTCACTACTCTATCAAAAAAAAAAAAGTGAAGGAGAGACAAGTAACAGGCCATTAATCAGCTAGAGATTCAAAGTTCAGAAAGACGCTGATCAGGATGTAGAGTGACCACAATATCCTTTCAAGACACAGCTTTAGAACCTAAGCAGAGAAAAAACAGACATTGTCACAAGGCAGATACATTAAGATACATTGTTTTTATTTAGTTTTAAGGCTGGCAGATAACATTGTCAATGGAGGTCTTTGTATTTATCTAAGCCACGGAAATAAGTAAACTCAATTTATCTTATCTATATATCTTTAAGAAGGGGTCTCAAAATTCCTTCAGAAGTCCACTTTCTGTATCTCTATTACCAGCACCCTCATTCAAGCCACAGTTATTTCTTGCCTAATTGGTATCCCTTCCTCTATTCATTCCTACAAGAACCATGTAAGAGCCAATTTGGTCTAGTCACCAAGCCATTTTAACATCTAGGAGTCAGAAAGATTAGGTGCAACAAACCAAAGGAAATAGAGGAGCAACCAGTGAGGGAAATGAATACCAAAGAGAGTGTGATAAACATCTTGAAAGTTTACAGGAAAAAGTGGTTCAAGGAAGATTATAACCAATGGTTTCAAATGCTGTTGATAAAAATGAGAATTAATTTTTTAATTTAACAGCACAGAAGTGACTTGTTAATCTTGACAAGAGTAATTTTGGTGGAACGTTACAATAAAAACACTCACTGGATCTGTTTAACAAAAGAATGGGAACAGAAAAACTAAAGACAAAATATAAAC